GACGAATATATATATATATATATATATATATATATATATATATATATATATATATATATATTTACTAGTCTTTACGTTCGTGCGATGCATGAATATCCTATGTCAAATATTATTATAAAACGCATATAAAAAATAATAAGCTTTCAATTGCATAATATTCTAAAATTAATTGCAACTGAATATGTACGAAATTCAATATGTACAAAGTTTAATAATTTGTTTCCTTAGAACAGAAAAGATATAAAATACAATCCAAACAATCCAAACGAACAAATTAATAATGTTTTGGCACAATGAAATGATAACATAGAACTAAATATTATGGAATTATATAATTATGCAATTAAAGTTGTAAAATCACTTAAAGAATACAACAATATTTAACATTATTTTTCTGATTCAATAATTTTCTTTGATTTAACTAAGCCTTAATAATTCATATACATGAAAATCATACTCACTCAAGATACATTAGTAACAAAGAAACCAAAAATAGGAAGGTCATCTAGTCATTCATACCTTCTGTTGGTATCATTTTTTTCTGTGTTGCACATTATTCTATATCAATTATTACAAAAGCCATATTTAATAAAATATAAATTCTTAACTATACAAATATTCAAAATAAATATCGATAGAAAATAATTTAACTCCAATCATGATCAATCCAATCTGTAAATTCATCTCCAGTTCTGATTAATTTAATCTCTAGTTAAAATGCACGTGAATTTTATATTCTATAAGTTCTTAACTAAATAAATAAAAGATATCGAAGAACTTCCCAAATATTCTATCGTGAAAGGAAAAAATACCTATTCAAGAAGGAATCATGATATTTTATTCGAAGAAAAAATATTAATATTTATAGAAGATTTCCTAACACATAAATAAAACGAAATCACTTTCCAGGAATGAATGAAATTTATATGAAGTTTCTTGCACAATAAAAAGGTAAAAAGGAGTTCTTAAAATTCCTAATGTAAATAAGAAAGAAAAAAGCTCTCCAACAAGGATTCTCCTATTCTCCCACAAAATTACGTATTTGTTGTGATTAGGAACAACACTTTTTTTTTTTAAAAGAAAATTATGGACATGCCTTTCTAATTCAAGTAGGATCAACTTTGTAGGGTCGGTGTATTTATAGTTTAAATTGGATAAGAATTCCATCATTTGATAATTTGTAATTAGATCCTTAAATTATTACAAATACTTAAGGGCATAAAAGTCGATCAACATTTCGGTGATATATTAGTCGTTCAATATTTAGCATAAATTATTCTTACTTTTATAATAATATAGATAAATAATCTCTATGCTCGTGCATTACACAAATACCTTATGTCAAATATTACAAACGCATACCATAAATAAATGTTAGAGTTAGATAATGAGTTGCTTAAAATAAAAGTTATATATTTTTAATGCAAACCAAATCATAATAACGTTGTGATAATCATCACAAAATGGAACAAAATATTTTAAAATTACAGAATGATACGAATAAATTTATACATTGGTTAAAGAATGCAACAATTTTTTTATGCAAGTTGTTTATCAAATGACAAGTATAGTATAAATATATTAGGAGTTTATTGAAATTCATAAATATATTAGAATTCTATTCTTGAGGTAATATTTGAATATTACAATTACATCCATCTTTAACTCAAAATTTTAAGGGCATAAAAGTCTATCAATGTTTCGAGAATATTTTAGTTGTTCAACATTTAACATAAATTATTCGTGCTTNTATATATATATATATATATATATATATATATATATATATAGAGCGTGAAAAACGAGTTCGACAGAATTCAATAATTTTTGTTCTAACCCTGTATTTGTTTTAAGAAACTCATTTAATATGTATAAATTATTAATTTAGAAGCCAACAACTTATAAGGATTAAAATTCCGAACTCATAAGCTTTAGATCCCGGCATTGCCTCTAAATATAAATTATTGAATCCTCTTAGTTAGGTTCGTATATTAGGCGTGATTTTTGCATTTTTTTTGAATTCCCTTAAATTCTTGACTTCGCTACTTCCTACACGTCGGATGTTTGAATAGTTCACCGAGAGAGCTACCCAACTCCCTGGTGCAGTACTTACTAGAATTAGAGCATTCTTCCATTGTTACTGTAATAATATTTTACACTGTTAAAGTAGTTTAAATGAAATGCTGGTCTGTATTCTTAATATAATCTTTCTGTGCCTTTCATGCGTATGTTTGTTTGGTCATGGTTTATATTTTGTAATACACTAACAATAGATGTAATGAGATTTATCCTCCCATCCAATAAAAATTGGAACGATGAGAAAATTAGTATGGTACCTATGCAAGGATGAGTAATTTTTTTTAAACAATGAAATATATCGTGCGAGGGAACAACTCGTGTTTTCCCCTAGTTGTTTCAGCCCAACTTTATATTTTACTCATAATCCTCCATAAGCCTTAACATTCTTAAGATGCCATAAGCCAACCCAATTCTATATATAGATCTCTCTCTTCTTTTATTGAAAGATTTCGTTCTTACAAAAGGCCCTTTTATCACAATATACTAGTTTAGATTTGGTTAAATATGTGTCAAACAGACGTTCTGGTAATACATCAATGCTCCAAACTAAACAAGGGAAGGCTCAAGCAAACAACAACAACACATAGCCAATATAATCTCACACAGCGTGTACGCAAAGACGGAATTTAGAAAAAACCCATCGTCATGCTACACTAGAGCATAATTATTTATGACAACCTAAGCAAAAAACGTACAGAACTTAGTTGGGTTAGCGACTTCCCTAACCTACAAAGTCTACATACAAAAGACAGTTACAGAAAACAAAAGAAACATAGCAGTACTATCTCAGCTACTCACAAGAAGACCCTGACGGCTTCAAAAGATTTCTGTGCGTGAAGATTTCTTATTTCTAGTAATTTTTCATAATTCTGTAGTGCGAGTTCTCATCTTGTTTCCAAGGTTGCCTGCAGCATCTGAAGCCTTCTCTTTGGCAGCTTCATACTTTTCCTTGGCTTTTTCATTCATGGTATCCTTGGCGGACTTGTAAGTTTCGCGAACATTTGATTTTGCATCTTCATATTTGCCAAAAGCATTATCTTTCCCATCGGCCAATACTTCCGTGGTTGTGTTTTTTGCATCTTTGGCCTTGTCAGTAGCCATTTTTATGGTTTGGTCAGTCTTACTCGGGGCGACATCATAGGCATCGGATGCTTTATCTTTCATTGTATCTTTTGCATTAACAGCACTATTAGAGGCCATGTCCTTTGCTTGATTCATCTTATCAGACGCATATCCGTAAGCATTATAGGCGTTATCTTTTCCCATCTCTTTGGCATCGCCCGCCATTTCTGAAGCCTTGTCCATTGCTTGACCTGTCTTATCCTGCATTTTTCCCTTGGCGTCACTGCCCATTTGGGAAGCTGCGTTCATGGCATCGCCCACTTTCTGAGAGGCAAAATCATAGGCCTCAGAAGCTTTATGTTTGGTTCCTTCTTTGGCGTCGGCTGCGATGTCCGAGGCTGTGTTCATCGCATGCCCTGCCTTATCCGAGGCAGAGTCATAAACATCATGAGCTTTTCCTTTTGCGTCATCCACCTTTTGAGAGGCGAATTCATAGGCCTCAGAAGCTTTATGTTTGGTTCCTTCTTTGGCATCGGCTGCCATGTCCGAGGCCGTGTTCATCGCATTCCCTACCTTATCCGAGTCAGAGATATAAGCATCATGAGCTTTTTCTTTGGCTTTATCGCTGGCGTCACCTGCCAAACCAGAAGCCATGGACATGTCAGTGGCAAAGCCAATAATTTTAATAATGGAACTTCAAAATCATGCTAGAATATCACACCTACGATAATGCTAGAATGTCACACCCAAGATTTGACCCGAACATGTGGTTTAACATAATCACTATGTTTTGCCACTACACTAGCATCCCTCGTATCAAGGAAATTCAACAATTTATATACAATCAACCATTGTATGGCATTACCTGCTTTCTCCGATGCAAATTCATATGCACCATATGCACCATGTTTCCCTCTCTCCGTTGCACGATGAGCAATATCAGCTGCTGCATCCATTGCTTCATTCCCCTTCTCCGAAGCAAGATTCTTCGCATCACCTAATTTGTCAGATGCCACGCCTGCCATCCTGCTAGCTTTTTGAGAAGCTTCTCTTTGGGTTCCTGCAAGCAAAACCAATTAGTATACAACTCTTTCAAAATGTTTAGAAGTATCCGAGGGAAAATTCCTTTGGCGTTCTGCTACATCTTCGTCTTTGTAGAGGAAAGGAAAAAATTACCATATGCGGTTGAACTGATAGA